CTTAGTGTGAGAAAGAAGCGTGGATAGACAATTAATTGAGCTAGTGGAGTGTGGAGGGGGCATGTGCAAACACCCGAGGATGAACGGCGGATTAGCCCGACAGGCCGAAAGCCAAACAGAATCTGGACTGTCCGCCAGTAGTGGGTCGTCAATGGTGGAGACTTCCGTTTCATTTCTGAATTATATGAGGCAGCCACCTTCACGTCGATGGAAGCGATCGGAGCGGAAGTTAGTGCATCCCGGGAGGGAGATAGGGGTATCAGATGTGCTGGAAGAGAGCCACGTCTCAGTGATGCAAATGAAGGTTGGACTAGCTATAGTGGAGATAGTTTGGATCTAGTGCAATTTGGGTGAAAGAGAGCGGGTGTTGATTAGAACGACAGAAATATTGCTGGCGGGATCGGGGGGGGTGGGTAATGTGGCTAGCAGGAAGTTGACAAGCCCAAGGAGGTCAGTATGGAATGGAGTAGAGACAGAGAAATCGGGAGTTCTCGAATTGGTAGGCGAGGTAGGACCAAGTAAAGGTACGTGAGAATAAGATGCTGGGAGGTACCCTGATGGGAACCGAGACAGGGTTCGGGTAGCAGGGCAGGTAACAGAACTCCATGGACAAAATGTAACAGGCTAGGTCGGGAAATCGCTTGTAATAATGTAATCGACATAATCAGGAGGTGGTACCGTGTGGCTGCTGAGCAGAAACAACAGGATTTAGGTCATGCAGGATGGTGAAATTAATAAGAAGCAGGAAAGTAGGGGATAGGGCAGGGGCACTTAGAGGGAAGGAGGAACCGTCTTGTAGTGCCTTCAGCACCGGATCGTTGGGGGCGGAGGGAACGGTCAGCCAAATTGGGCTGATTGGAGTAGATGAAATAGGAGGCCTGTGGTAAGAGATGCAAGATAAAGGGAGTAGACAAGGAGGAGTGAACAATTTAGTAGTACGGTCAAACTCTCTGGAAGGAGCGGGCTCCGATGTGGGTAAACAGTAATCCTGAGTTGATTGTAGTGGGGGGATTTGGAATGGGAATTCGGGATACAGTCGAGGGTCGTAGAGGTGGAGCTGCACGTGGCTTCAGAGGGAGTGAATGATGTGGTGGAGTAGGTAGTTGCCGAAAAGGTATCCGAGGCACTGTCGGGAAACTAGTTTGCACGGTTAGAGGGGCTACAAATTAGCTTATTAGGAATTACGGATTTAGTCAGTTTTTAGAAGAAGGGCGAAGAGCAGGAGTTTGGGGAGTTGTTGCAGGAGAAGGGGTTACGGTGTGTAGCTTGGACAGCAGGTGCTTGAGTCCAAGGAGGCACTTTGGTGGGGAGACACGAAGCGTCGTTAGGTCAGGAGGCCCAGTGAGAGAACCTGTGCTAGCACCCTCGACTACAGGATTACGTGTGGGTTGATTAGTTACCGTATCTCATAAATCAGCAGTCGATCTTGTTGGCGTGGTGGAGGTCAAAGATAACATTTGTGGGCGCCCGGAGATAGAAGTGGACGGCTCATGGTCATGTGTGGGGTACAGGGACAGGATCCAACAGGCAGGTTTGTGTGACGTGGTGGCACGCATCAGCGCAAGGGGCAGCTGAAGGGGCATTGGGTTCGGGTAACTTCTTGGGAGGGTATCTTTGCAAGCACAGGCAGCTCTAGTTTTAAAGGTTTGGAATTTTCTGATAGGGGAGAGAATAGTCTGAGCTGTTAGCAGACGCGCGAAATTTTTTATCCCGGAATCGCATTATTATCGGGCAGCACATGGACGGTTTCGACTTCCTTAGACGCTGAGCTGTGTTATGGTGTCCCGCATGTCACATGCAGTCAGGATGGCAGTGTTGGTATGCTCAAGTGGGATTTAATTGAATTGATTGAATATTAAGACTTGCTGCCGGTATTCGATGTGTTGACAAATCTCAGAAGCAATCGTGTCGATAAGGAGTGACGCCTTTTCTGAGTTAGCTGGATCGCACGCTGCCTCAGGATTTAGAAGGCATGCAATCGAGGGTACGGTTCGGAGGGAGGACATTTCATTTTCCATCTGGTGCACACGTGTTCTGAGCTTTTCCAGATCGTTCAGGACCTGGGAACATACTGGTAGCGGCGAAAGAAGATTGTTGCCAGGTTGAGGAGGCAAATATATGTCAGTTAGCACAACTGAACAATCCGAAGTTGCTTGGGGTACCGTCTTTGTCCGCTTCGAAAGGTGAGGGGGTTTGGGAGCTGGGTCTTCTCGATTTAAGCCGCTTCTTTGAACATACTGGCGGATATCTGATGTGGATTGGAGGTCTAGAAACCTCTTTGAGAAGGAGGATGGGAACGGTGTCATAGCGAAATATTTCGGAGCAGGTTGAGGAATAATCATTTCCGTGGAATACAGGTGAGTGTTCAAGGGTAGTAGGAGAACTATGGATCGTATCATGAGGGTCCCAGTCAATCTTCGATACCTAGGTGGCCTGGTAGTTCGGGAGAGAATAGTCTGAGCTGTTAGCAGACGCGCGAAATTTTTTATCCCGGAATCGCATTATTATCGGGCAGCACATGGACGGTTTCGACTTCCTTAGACGCTGAGCTGTGTTATGGTGTCCCGCATGTCACATGCAGTCAAGATGGCAGTGTTGGTATGCTCAAGTGGGATTTAATTGAGTGCATTGAATATTAAGACTTGCTGCCGGTATTCGATGTGTTGACAAACCTCAGAAGCAATCGTGTCGATAAAGAGTGACGCCTTTTCTAAGTTAGCTGGATCGCACGCTGCCTCATGATTTAGAAGGCATGCAATCGACTGTACGGTTCGGGAGGAGGACATGTTATTTTCCATCTGGTGCACACGTGTTCTGAGCTATTCCAGATCGTTCAGGACCTGGGAACATACTGGTAGCGGCGAAAGAAGATTGTTGCCAGGTTGAGGAGGCAAATATATGTCAGTTAGCACAACTGAACAATCCGAAGTTGCTTGGGGTACCGTCTTTGTCCGCTTCGAAAGGTGAGGGGGTTTGAGAGCTGGGTCTTCTCGATTTAAGCCGCTTCTTTGAACATACTGGCGGATACCTGATGTGGATTGGAGGTCTAGAAACCTCTTTGAGGAGGATGGGAACGGTGTCATAGCGAAATATTTCGGAGCAGGTCGAGGAATAATTATTTCCGTGGAATACAGGTGAGTATTCAAGGGTAGTAGGAGAATTATGGATCGTATCATGAGGGTCCCAGTCAATCTTCGATACCTAGGTGGCCTGGTAGTTCAGATGGGGATGTGGAAGCGTGCGACGGTGGCGGCACGTTGAACGGAACGATTATGTAGATGAGTACTAAACGTGCTCGACGAGCTGTGGCTAACACTGATTAAGCCTGCTGTGGAAGGGAGGTCTGTTTGACCTTCGTAATCGCAGCTAATTGGGGGATTATCGTAAAAAATAGTTGTCCAGTATAAAAAACTGGTTAAAAACCTATGGATGGGCTAGAAGCCAAAAAGTTTCTACAACATCTGACCTTGAACTTTTAGTCTCACCTCATCTAGCGTGAGGAAATTATGCCCTACACGCATTTGGAGAAGACCACCAACCACGTTCAAGTGTGTCATTTTGGTAAATCATCAGTTCCCGGTAGAGGCTCAAGAGAAAAACCTACCCATACTTTCCGCCTCGTGGGTTAGACTTTTGTGTCGAAAACCCGAGTTTGCGTACCTCAAGCGAAATTCACCAGTCGACTTGGGCATCCGGGAAATATCATTCGCCTTAACTGTAGCCTCCTTTCACCAACTACTTTCCATGCTTTCTAGAAAACTCCGGCCCGTTTGGCTGAGACTGACCTACCCATCGATTCTTATCTCAGGTTCTCTTCGTTATACAAGGTTCATACGCTTTCAAGTTGGGCGACATATAGCTGTTGCTCAAGCAGTGTTCTTTCTTCGGACCGATGTGCAGATCTCCCCAGGTCGGCAAACCACCTCAAACCTCCGAGTCGGACCCATGCACTGTGATTCTTTGGACATTGGGCCATCCTGATAACGCTCCCGCTCATAGCGGCCTTTGCCCAGTCACATTAGCTGGTTCAATCGGGATCGGTGCATCTCGGCGTGCTAAAGTGTGTCTGGTTGTTTATTGTGTCGGCACGCTTTTAACGGATGGCATATCTGAGACCCGGAAAGATAATTTATATCGAGATTTGTCACATACAGCGAGACATTTTTCGTGTAGGTGATATAAATGCGGTCGGTACAATAAGTCCGGGTGAAATCCACCTCGGCGGTCACTGCGCAGGTAACGGAGGGTAAATTCAAAGTTGCCCACTAACCTCCGTTGGTTTCTGGACGGCACAAACTCCCGTCACAAGCAAACACATCTATAATAACATGCGCGATGCCTCAACTCAGTTCTCGGTCTGAAATCTTTCAGATGGCGTTCGTCCAAAGGAGAACAGAAGGTGGCATTGTGTAGTAAGCGCCAAAGATCTGGTCGAAAACACGCTTGAATGAAGCGAAAACGCGGGGCTGCTTCGCCGCACAATGCCCCAAGCTGCAAAACATTTGAGAGTTGAGTAAAACTTTTTACGCCCAAATTTAGCACCCTGTTACGCGTGCGCTCAGACCAAAAATTATCCAAAGCTATGTTCATATTTTCGCAATTCGCCAAATTTCATTATCCACTTGAGCAATCATGCCTCTGGCGAGAAAATTTTGGTGGAATAATTTCTTAGCATCACTGGGACCCCAGGATACCTAGATGGGGCTCAAATTTTGGGCTGGGACTTTGAACTCCATTGCCTATCACTTTTATTCCATCAGGGGCACGCCACAGCTTCGAAATTTCCATTTCACTGTGCGAATACTAAACCCACCCCCTGAGTGCCCGAAAAGATCTTGGAAATTCCAACGCCCTCGAGAAGTGCCAGTGGCAACTAGCATCCGGCAGATACTGGATCGCGGTTAGCTATTGGGTATCGAATTTCGGCCAATCAGAGGTCGGCTTGATATCGGACCGGCAATCAGCAGTCTTCTGGCCAATCATGTGCGGGACAGACTCTTTGGCTGTCGGCGCATAATAGAGAATGGTAAGAGGGTTGTCTGTCCTGCGTCCCGCCCAACGCAACTGTGATTCGGATGTTACTAACTGCAAACAATCTGTCGACTCGTTTGGACCACGTTATGGTTAGCTCCCTTTGGAAATCTTAGATGCTCAGGTGATCACGACACTATGCGGGCGTATGTATTCACTCCCTTTCCATCTTGAACATATCGGTTGATGTAGGCCCATTCAGTCCACCGCCTGAGAAGCGTCTTTATAACTCAGCGATATCGAGTTGAGTTTGATGAGGTGATTCCAGGACTTCGCGCGGATAATGGTGAGCTGGAGGACAGTGGGAGAAAGATGAAAGCAGTCGTGCTCACAATCTTTGCTACTCTTTGCCTGAGGTAGCTTGCACACCCCAGTGAACACTGGATCCTGTCGTAATCAGCAGCTCTCCTTTAGACCAGGAAAGCTGTAGCGAAAACAAATGACCTTTTAAACGCCCACATTTCCATCAACCGCCGAATAATAAAGAAGCATCGATGGATAACGAAAGCGGAAAGTGTAGAAAAATTCTAAATTGGGGTACAACCGCACCATGTTCCAGCTAATCCGATGAACTGGTTCGAGAAGGGTAGTTTTCAGTGAAACTATTCTTTAAAGGAATGTGACCCCAGTTTAATCACAAACGTTCTAAACGATAGGCTTAACACTTTAAGGAACTTTTAGCTGGCTCCAATCAACTCAACTTCTGGAATGATCAAAGCGCAGGCACGGTCCTCCACCGGCAACGAAAAAGGACAACGATGTCCGGGCTTTCAGTCCGTTGTAAAAGAGAAGCATCTAGAGTAACAGAAACTGTATTTGATATATTCAAAGCTATACACACAAGCAGAGACAATAAATTGTGTGCCACGGATTTCGATTTCTCGAGATTCCTTCATAGACGTTACCAAACGAACCGCGCAGAGATTACTATCAACGAGCACCCAATCAACTATAGACGCTTAATAACGCCGCCGTATTCAATTGCAGCGACCTTCGCATCACCAGAAGTGCGCAGTCGGAAACCGGAAAAGACCGAGGTGGCAAGCAGTTCGATGACGGTACTTTCGTTCAGTGTCCCTGTTCCTGAGAATATACAGCAATGTAGAGGAAACGCAGTGTACGGGCAAGAACCATTTATTGTCCTGTTTGCCCCAGTGTGTGAACATTGAAGATAGCTAAGTAAACCTGTTTTCGGGGTTTCAAAACAAACTTTGAAATGATGTGGGTCGTTACTAGACTTGGACATACAGAAGCTGCTGCTGAGTGTGAGGCAGTGAGAGCGAAAGATCAACCCTAATTCTAGGACCTGTAGAAAGAGCATTACGACTCACTTGGGGTAGGGTAGAAAGGCGAAAATGCAAAGTGTAAGAATGGAGACAGCACTAGCATTCTTGCGCCCACCCCCTTTTATAAGCAGCAAGTAAGGCAACCCGGCTGCTGACAACACGCGACGGCCAGTTTGGCACGAAATTACTGTTAACTGTAAATGTAGGGAAGCAATCGGAGGGATTAGTTTTGGTTTGTATTTCTGGAATGGGCCAAGGGTGATTCTGTGAGACTTGTAGGGTACAGAAAAATTGAACGATAATGGTATTGGTTGATGTGCATATTGATTTTTGCTGTTACGGACTACGGCATTGACGGGTAGACAAAGAAAGAGGGCGATGAAGTAATGGCTTTATGGGAAACGTGGTTGTCTTTGGAAGCCATTCGAAGACGCGAGGAAGGGGGAATGATGGAGTTCTTCCATTACTGCCAAATGCTTTGGCTAATGCTCAAATAGGACGGCTGTCTGCACTAGCACTGCCTATTAGTCGAACTCCTGACCAACAGCTTTCATTCACATCCTCAGTACTAGTCTTGCAGGAGTCGCTAGCAGGCATGTAACCAGAGCGGATGTATTGGGGATCATTCTGTTCGTGGAGATGCGTATGAATTTCTCAGAGAGCGGTACGGAGATAATACAGAAGAAGAGGATAAATAAGTGTCTACAAAATTTTGCGCATTTTCGGATGTATTCTCTAGAAACGGTAAAGACATAGGACAGTCGCACAAAGACATCGATGCAGATATAAAAAAGGTCGAAAGTATATGGAACGGATGAACTTGAGCGTGAATTTCGGGTAAACGAGTATTGCAAGAGGCGGGAATGCGGAATGGGATAGTGTGTTAGAGTCCTTTGGCCCTGGGGGACAAAGAAGAAAAGCTCTGTTTGGTAGTGTTATTTTCACTTGATAGGGATGCCCAGGAGTAAGGGGGCAAGTTTTTCCAACGAGTGATTTGGGAATTGTAACAAGGGGAGGGTTCAGGGAAACGACTCCCTTGGTAATAGCGATATGGCCAGCTACGTCTTGATTGTGGAAAAGGGATTGGAGGCAGTCGGCTGGTTAATAGTTGCAACTTAGCACACCATTTTCACTGGGTTTGCTTCAGGAGTGGGAGGCAGGTTTAAGGAGCCTCATGGCACGGATTGGGTGAATCTGAAATTCGCAACTGGTTGCGACCACTCCATTTATTTTTTTCTACGGTCCATGGATCAGCAAAGGGTTTGCGATCGATTGGAATATTCCCGGTTGGTCGGTGGCGTACTGAATATTGCTCAGGTTTTTTTGCGAAGATGATGTAGTCGGCAGCGAGGGTTCTGGCTCTGGAGTTAAAAGAGTCATATTGAACTTCCCTAAGTTGCTTAAGTTTGGTTGCTTCTCTTTGTTTCCAGGGTGTTACTTTACTTTTACAAGATGAGTCTCAAACATGAAAGGCAAAATGTACTCTTTGCACATACGTTGTGATGAAGGGGACTGTTCAACGGAGCGACACGGTCAAATTCGAACAAAATAAACTGCGAAGGGACTATGTAAAAATATGCCTTGTTTCATTATTGGCCCGCGGATTATTTACAGCATAATTCGGTCTTGTGTTTCTTTTTCAGAGTCCCTGATGAGTTCCTGCCTATAGGCATTATTTTTTTGACGTCGGTGACGACCACCGGCACCCACTTGCACACGGTGACTGCACCACTCCTTGTACTTGCCGTTGGACCAGCTTTTGTTGTTTAGTGTGGGAAACAATGAGCAAACTTCTAGCATTTTTCAAATCCAAGAATATAGAACGCAAGTTTTCTCGCCTCGGGGATGGCCACCGATTGGGAGAAACTTCTTCGTCAGAATCACCTGTGGTGTCGCAACCATATGTGCCACCGGTGCGTGCGAAAGCGGAGCCTTCAGAAGGTGCAATTAAAGCAGCTGAAGCTGCTATGGAGCGAATGAACCGTCAGAAAAAACCAGGTTTGTATTGATTATTTTTTTCGCATCGGCTTGTTTTGACGAACGCGGTGCTCTGAGCACGGCAATCCATCTAAGAGAGGCCTCTCGGTGGAATGATCATTTCGGTCTCTAGACTCATTACCAGTCTCTAATGCGTGTGGAGTCGAAGTCCTCTCGGGGCGTCCGCTTACAGATATTGAGTACGTAGACGGCATAGCTCTCCCTAGATTTGGCGCTATTGTAATGCAGACCACATTAAATAATCTAAATAATACTGCCTCACTGTCTAGTGTGCACTGCACACCTGCAAGGTGTAAAATGCTGCTGCAAGACCAAATGGGCTCGAACTTTAAGATCATGCGGTTGAGCCTTTTGAGGCAGTAGGCAAGTTTGTCTCCCTGGGTAGCTATATCAGTTCTGGTGCTCTGTTGAAAGATGATCTTTCCATCCGGATTGTGAAGTCCAGAGCAGCTTTTCTGGACCTGTCACCCGTGGCACTGGCGTGATATCAGCTTATCCGTCTGATTATCGATGCCTTCGGAGCATTATCCAAGTCTGATGTGGAACATTGGATCAGCAATGTTGAAATGCGTCGAACGGTATTCGAAAGTAATGAATAACTCGCCTACGATAGATGAACTATCAGTTCTGGTGCTCTGTTGAAAGATGATCTTTCCATCCGGATTGTGAAGTCCAGAGCAGCTTTTCTGGACCTGTCACCCGTGGCACTGGCGTGATATCAGCTTATCCGTCTGATTATCGATGCCTTCGGAGCATTATCCAAGTCTGATGTGGAACATTGGATCAGCAATGTTGAAATGCGTCGAACGGTATTCGAAAGTAATGAATAACTCGCCTACGATAGATGAACTAGCCACACTGCATAGGTTGCGCTGGCTTGGCCACGTGCTCCGTATGCTAGTCGACCGGATTCCTTGAAGGATTCTTCTTGCAGAGCCACGCCAAGGGTGGAACGGCCAGGGGAAGCTAAACAATGACTTGGCAGCGAAGTGTAAAAAGCATTACCAGCAAACTCAGTTGCGCTGGTTATTCCCGTTGGATGGGACCCCGGGTCGGGCCACATCAATGGTTGGAGACATTGTCATACATGACCCAATCACACTCTTAATGTCGCTTGTGAATCCAATCTAATGCCTTCAGCGCATAGCTGCCTTCTCAATCCCCGCTTAAAAGCCCAATGACAAACCTGTATTTACGCACCAATTCATCCGTTCGCGCCTCCCTACCTCTCCAAATCATCCACGTACGAAATCGTGGTAGCTAGAACCACTATACGACTTCCCAGGTTTAGTTATCCCGCGACTCAAACTTGCTTACTATGAATGAAAATATGGCTAATCTAAGTATGTTTTCGAACGTTTCGGAAAAATGGTCCAGCTGTAACACCCTTGCGGTGCCCCACTGACATGCCACCCGGAGGAAGCACGAGATCCGGGATACTGCCAGATTGCCTAAGACAGGAGCAGTTGAGATGCAGAGGTCGGGTTCGAACTGCCGGTCTTCTGCTCAGTAAGTTCGTGTCTTAACCACCGAGCCGTCTCGAGTGTTTTAACAGATAGCGAAAGCAAGATCTCAAATTCGCCCAACCATCTAGAAATGACGGCAATCAACATTATGTCTTGAGAGAAAACGTAAAACCCTCTAGGTTTTCGATCAAGGGGAATAAACCAAGCTATTTATTTGCCTGATCTGGGCTTTCTTCTTAATGCAACTATATTTGCTCTTAGCGAAATACACTTTTGTAGACACACACATACACATTTGCAGACTAATTTGGCTTTGCGAGAGACTCACCTGGAACCCAGCGGGATACCTCGTTTGTGATGTGATCTTATGATGAATGCCTACGTTACACACAAACGCGATCGAGTCATATGACAAGAGTCATATGTCAAGAGGCACACATTTTTCATGTTCTAGCCCCCCCCTCGCCACCGTAATTTTCGGTCTACAGCACCATACTTTACGCCTTAATTGTGTTATTGTAAACTGTTGCCTCTAAACTAACCTGAAACGTCATTTGCAAGCCGACCTTTTGTTTTCCTTGGCAGTAGTTCATCAAATCTCATTTCTGTATCTGTAATATCTTAGCAAGCAAATTCGTACGACTTGAACGAGTTTTTTTGGGTCAAAACATGCTTTTCTAATTCACGCAAATGCTCTCAACGGCAAGTCTTTGACTTCATACGGTCTTCGAAGGTTAATTGTTTTCGAAATTCGTTCGGACTTATCGACGAGATGGATGTAGACCGAGTGTGTTAATTTCCATGGATGGCTGCTAACACCAAATAAGATGTGCGCACATTCGCAGAAAATCCATACGGTCCAGAATATGCTTCTTCCAAATGACATCAGAACGGTCCTCGAACTGAACTTAATGCTAATCTATTTTTACTAAAGTCAGCAGATTTGCTGCAGTCTATCCGCTTCCCCATACAACAGCAGCAGAAGGTATCTTAGCAGATAAAGCTACCCGTTAATGAAGCATCTGCTTTTGCCTACCATGGTCCAAATCAGCACGTATTCACTCAATACAAGGGCACCTGATCCGTTTTTGAAGGACTGCTGCTTCAAGAAAGCAGGCCATCGGACCATAATAATAATAATCATCCATCTAAAGCACCCTTCCGGTGCCTAGCTGCCATACCACACGAATGAGGCACGAGGGCTGGGATACTGTCAGGTCGCCCAAGCCTAGACAGGGCAAGTCGAGAAGTAGAGGTCGGGTTCAAACCACGGACCTTCCGGTCAGTAAATTCGCGCCCTAACCACTTGGTCCATCTCGCCCCTAGATGGATGTAGACCATTCCGTTATACGGTAATGGATGAAGCACTTTCGTACGTGAAACACGGACAGGTTGCACAGGATGTACATGACCTTATCGGGTTTTAAGCGTTGCGTTGCGGTACGTACTCACTCTTAGCACTACTACAGGTTCCATTATGTGGCACCATACCAACCCGTTTCGCTGACATTGTCACCATTTTTACCATCATGGTCATCGTCGTCATCGCCATTGTGATTGTCATCATCTTCAGTTGTATACACCGCGTGCATATCTTACAGTCGTTAAGACTATCACACCCACCCATCCTTTGCTCCATGCAACTAATAGGGCAAGCGACCCCATAATTCTAGCATGCTCTTGACCGTATAGTTGTGGAAAAGATTAGTGACAGATTGGTGTTATATGTTAACTACCATGATGACGAACCAATGCATTCGCAGTGGAGCCGCAGCGTTTCCTCACCGCACTTTGTATCTCAGAAATGAACGAAAACAAGGACACTCTTTGAAGCTGTATTTGGTCCGGCGTAAGCGACCAATGATAAAACTACCATCATCATCATCATCATCATCATCATCATCAATGACAGCAGCATCAGTGTTGGCACTGATGCTTCACTGCCGTACAACCGTAAGGTTCGTTTATATATA